CCAACGCAGAACGGAGACCATCTTGACCATTTTCTAATCTCTCTGCTCCTTGGATCCAAACAGCTTAATTTTACCCACAGGCGATCCTTTATCCAGGCATTCTTATCATTGAATTTGTATACTGTTCACTCCCAGGTACTTTGTACAATCGCACTGAACGTATTTCTTGGTTTGAATATTATAATTTAATTATAATTATACCAATATTCCTTGGACTTTGTATTATAGTAACGGTGTAATTCATTTCATAGCTTAGAACATTATTTTTATTTACATGATAGCTAAGTATTATCAGTTTCAGAGTACCTACATAGGACCTCTCACGGTGTTCAGCTGATGTATACGTGTGACAAAATTTAAGTTCAACAAGGGAGCTTGATAGCGTTTACCTCGGAGTTAACATTAATGTTTCCCTTACCAGAAGCGTTGAACATAAACATAAACGAGTTGTATTGCTGAGTTATGTAACAAACCAGGTGATTGCGAAGATGGATGCCTGTAGGTAAATTAAACATTCGCCCTGAAACAACAAGGTATAGGTTGCAGTAAACACAGTCTCATCAAGCTGTATGTGGCTGTGTGTGGTTATGTTAAGGATTAGAAGGAAACTTGCCTTTTCTCTAATACTTTGAAAACTGTCCTGTAGTAATAAAGACATAAATGTTCGCGAAAGGTGAAACAACTACATAATAAGTAAAGCAACAGGTTTGAGCAATTCGTATACAATTTCAACTTATTTTTGTTAAAGTACTCGGCATCAAACATGTTGAACGGCGGATGAACGTTTAAAAAAAATGCATTTTTTTTATTTAAAGTGCCAGAACATTCAATTGAAAATCTGTCATGCCATATGAATGCTCAGCCAAATAATATAAAATTTAACCGAACAGACAGTCAGTTTTGTTTTGATATTTACAATTTCAGAAGTGATCACTGCTTGTGGGAACTTAATAGTGGGGCCTTCCTCTGTTGTCAATTACTTTGAATGGTAATACGTTAGAAACAGAGGAACGACTGCGTCTCATTTATTTACTATAAAATTGTTATCTCGCCTTAGTTCACATAAGAATATTTGTGTAACAATTTCACCGTTATTTAAATATCAGTTCCCGTATGCAATTTACCCGGGGCCGATAGGCCTACATTAAGGTTTAATAAGTATTAAGGTTAGTATAAGTATTACATTATTTGAGATGAATGAGTGGATTTACTTACCACAATCCCTCGTCTAACTCATGTACCAAAGGAATGTGATTTATCCATAGCCATAATAAGCTCTCACTTGTACACACTGTTATCGCCACCTGAAGGACCTATTCAGGGTGGGTATTCCGAGCCTCTCTGGTCCTCCTCCACACACTCAAGTAGTCAACAGAGCTCCCCCGCGGCTCATCTCTCACAAAGATTTCCACTAATTTGAAGGGTTACGTAAGGTGGTGATTCAATTGATCGAGTTCCTCACATTTTCGTCGGAAACCATCTATGAAAATTGCTCTTAGAGGAATTATTGTACTCGGTAATGAAATATTCTAAAATACTATTAATTCTTCTGTTATTCTAGGAGTTGATGAAGATGTAGCTATCACTTAAAAAATAAGCTAGGTAACATGTACAGTAATAGCTAGGTATTAGAGTATCTTTTACATACTTTTGACTTTGAGGGGCATACTGGGGAAGAGTCAAGGTAGGGATGTCTAGGCGTTTGTATGTGATTACGTGCCCCATGGTAGCACAGGGACACACTGTCGATGCTGCCTTTTTGCCCAGCTAGTAGTACTTGTAAGGGTTACGTGAGGTTATGTTGTCTAGCACTCGGGATGGATGGATGGAAACTCTAGGTGGTGGTTTTCTTATATAAAATATATTATATACAAGACAGTCTGATGCTGGAGATGCCGTGTGGTGAGGAGCTTGCTCAGAAGACACGTTCGGTGAGTAGCGTGCTTGAGGGGGTATCTGTGCAGGAGCTTCGTTAGAGGAGATGTTGCGTGTTGCTGTCCTCCATGTTGAATGAGAGCTGGACAGCGAGGAGCTTGCTTGGAGTAGGTGTTGCGTGTTCAGGAACGTACGGTAGAATGAATCTCAATGGAGAGACTGAGAGCTTATATACACAGCATCCGGAAGTAAACCCGTGAGAACTAGCCGGTTGCTGGACTCCGTTGCTAGGGTAGACGTAGCAGGTGGCGACCCTGTGAGAAGCTCACCGGTTGCTAGGATACTGTCTACGCTGTTGTAGGGGAGAGATCCACTACAATACTCCCCCTTCCCTCCAGGCGGTGTAGGAGACTTGTTGTCTGCAGGGTTGCATCCCACATGTGAGGCAGAACGGGCGGTGCAGGAGACTTGTTGTCGGCTGGGCTGTATGCCACATGTGAGACATAACGGCGAGGGCGTGGATGAGCCGGCGGCTAAGGGAGACGACTGTCTAGATACACGAGATCTGTGGGAGAAGAGAGGGAGAAGGAGGGCTGTGGAGGCGATGAATGTTGTGCTTCCCTCGCAGCAGGTACAGAGTCCTCAGATGCGCCTGCTGGGGTGTGTGGGCCTGGGTCAGGAGCAGGGGCTGCATCAGGAAGAGGGTCCATGACAGCAGCAGGGTCCATGACAGCAGCAGGGTCCATGACAGCAGCAGGGTGCATGACAGCAGCAGGGTCCACGACAATGGCAGGGAGTACTGCTAAGCCGGGGGCGGCGTCTGAGGCAGGACGGGTGTGTTGGTGTAGGTAGGACGTGGTGCTTGGGGCAGGAAGAGGAGCTGGTGTCTGCTTAGGGGAGCAGTGCTGCTCTAGGGTGTCTAACCTGCGGTGTAGAGACAATAGCTGTAGAGCCGATGAGAGCTGCCTCTGTGTGGATAAGCCAGTCTTCAATGTTGTGATTGAAGACTAGGAGAGTGATCCGTTCCTCCTCCATCCTGTGTGAGTGCATTTTTCCGGGGGTCACCATTTGTAGGGTTACGTGAGGTTATGTTGTCTAGCACTCAGGATGGGATGGATGGAAACTCTAGGTGGTGGTTTTCTTATATAAAATATATTATACACAAGACTGTCTGGTGCTGGAGATGCCGTGTGGTGAGAAGCTTGCTCAGAAGACACGTTCAGTGAGTAGCGTGCTTGAGGGGGTATCTGTGCAGGAGCTTCGTTAGAGGAGATGTTGTGTGTTGCTGTCCTCCAGGTTGAATGAGAGCTGGACAGTGAGGAGCTTGCTTGGAGGAGGTGTTGCGTGTTCAGGAGCGTAGGGTAGAATGAATCTCAATGGAGAGACTGAGAGCTTATATACACAGCAGCCGGAAGTAAACCCGTGGGAACTCGCCGGTTGCTTGACTCCGTTGCTAGGGTAGACGTCACAGGTGGCGACCCCCGAGGAGCTCACTGGTTGCTAGGATACTGTAGCATTGGAATGCGGCTACCTGTTGTAGGGGAGAGATCCACAACATACGCAACGACCTGTGGTTCCAGTCATGCCCAGGAGTACAGTATTATAAATATACTTCGTGTATTTGTTCGGGGAGAAAAGCATATTGGCATCGACGAAGCGAGTCTGTGAATGTTAACTCATCTTCTGTGTTTTTTATTTTGTTAAAAATGGCAAAATATACAACTTCCATTAGAAGGGAAAGAGGCGTCTGACGACCATACGATGAAGATAAAAAGTGATCGTTATATAAAATGAGGAAACCTAAAATAATTTTTTTTTTATTCTGCCGAGAATATACAGATACATTTCAACATATTAAGTTTGAGTACGAAAGAGCCACCCGACTGTCACAAGAACATAGATGTTACTCTTGAAAGGTAAGGAAATTTGTAACAGAAAATTTAAAATTGTTCTCACATATGAAATAATTTTACAAAAAAAATAAATTTTGTAAACATTCTAGAGTGTAATTACCCAAAACGTCGGGTACGTTTACTTATACTGTATTTACATTTCATTAAATAGCTCTCGTTACTTCATGAAAATAGGACAGATTAATTAATTCGAAGTCTATAGTAAAGATCATTAGTTCAAGCACCATTTACCTTGAAAAAAATAATTTTCTATAATGGTAAGGATATTTTTTCTCATGTATATTCGATCATGACGCAGCGTCTCACATTACCATAAAGATTGTAATACTGTATACATAATGAGCTTATTTCAAGGGAAAAAATTAACCAAGCCTAGCCAATATAGTACCTATTGTTCCTCCAGCCCAGAAAACAGCTCCATGTACAAACCTGCAGCACGCACTAAAAGACATCTGTTAAAGCGCATTAATACACGGTAACATCAGTACGAAGTTAGTTTCTATTTACCCTTTACAAACGTTGGACACTCTTGATTTCGAGTTATCTTACTGGTGGGCTCTGGGTGGTGGTGAAGGGTAGTTGGATTCGGTTTATGGTTTATACCGAATTATGCTGTCGTCATCCTTCCCCTGTGTATGTGTGTGTGTGTGTAGAAAGGGAAAGAGAGCATTTCCATCTGAAGAAACCAGTTACAGGTATATACTTTCTCTTATATAACTCTACATTCAGACACTCTTAGACACCCAGTTATGTGGGAAAATAATGTATAAATCTTTGGGAATCCGGACCCCAATAGTTAACGTCAAGTCCTCGTCGTGTGAGTCAATCAACACTGTAGGTGACGTCAGAAGGCTTGGGGCGTCAGTGTTAGGTGGCGGCTCTGTCCCTCCCTCTTGTGTGGGCGGGCGGTGGGTTGGTGAGTTATGTTCCCAAGGACCTTCGTCTTCTGCGTAGGGGATGTTATGACAGGCGGTTGATAGCGTGGTGTCCAGATTGGAGACAAGTTGCACCCTTATCCTGCAGTTCATGTAACACTGGTTAAAAATGGTAATGATGAGTGTGTATGTAGGAGGTTTATGTTGGTGTGTATGAGGGAACCTTACTAAGTTGTCCTCACTGACTCCCTCACTCAGATGCTAACCAATTGGCCTAGGAACAGCGGTGAGATTGAATAACAATACCTAATGACTTATGTACTATCACAAACAGCAGAAGCAGCAGCAGGAAAGGGTGGCGTGGGGGCGCGCAAGGCTGGCGTGCGGGCGGGCGTGGTGTGCCTCAAGCTGGTCTCCCTGGTTACTCTGCTCTACCTCTTCATCTGCTCCCTCAAACTCCTGGCTAGCTCGTTCAGGCTTCTCGGCGGCAGGACGGCCAGTGAGTACCTTCAGTCCTCACGTTTCATTTCTATATTACATAATATGAGTATACATTATATATTATATTTATAGCCTCAGAAGTATTTTTTTATTGTCTGTGTAACTCCTCACCAACATGGAAGCACTAATACACCACCACCATATCGCTATTGTTTTGTTTAACACTTTCTCTTTTAAGTGGAAGCCTCTCGTGTTTATTTGTGTTGGCGTAAGATGGTGTTTAAATACAAGTGTGTGTGAGTGCAGATAATGTAATGTTGGTGCGTTTGCAGGTGCGGTGTTCCAGCAGTCCCAGCTGTTGAGTAACCCTGTGGTGGGGTTGATGATGGGCGTGCTGGTGACGGTCCTGGTACAGTCTTCTTCCACCTCCTCCTCCATCATCGTCTCCATGGTGTCTGCGAACTGTGAGTACACACCTAACTCCCCGTGACGATCTACTGTTCTTTTTGGTTAGGTTCTGTTTCCCTGTCACAATCAGTTCTTCGTGTCAGCTTGTTTTTTCATCCAACACTCTTCGTCAACTTCATCTTTTTATGTGTCCACTTAGTCTTCCATTCATCATGATTTATTTACCCAAGGCTTAAGTTGTACATTTATTCGTCTACTCTGACTTCCACCAATGTTCATTCAATATTATACTTTTCAACAATAAATTTATTCATAGATATCCCTTTGTTAGATAGGGTGGAATCAAAGGCATTTCTCCTTATTAACTCTCCTCCTTTCGTTGATAATCTTTCTTCCCTTTCTCTTCGCAGCAATGTTGCTTCACTCTCTCTTTTACAGGTACTTCAACGGGCAATGTTCTGTGTATTTGGCATCCTGTGTACCGCCGGCAAGTCCGTGGGCTCGTAACACTCGTCTTGCCCGCGGTGCCCACCGTTTCTCTTTGGATGTCAGTAACACTAGAATAACCCGTTATAGTACATCCTTCTTTCCTCACACAGCCAAACTGTGGAATGCTCTGCCTACTTCTGTGTTTTCATACTTATACAATCTGTCTCACTTCATAAAGCTGGTTTACCGGCATCTTCGTGGTGTAGATTAATATAATCCTTTTCTTTTCTATTTTTAATTTCATTTTACTCTAATTTTTCCCCCCAGGCCCCGTTGTGGGTCGATGACCTGTGCCCGGGTGGGCTATTCCCCATAAAAAAAAATAAAAAATATAGAGGATGTTTACCTTTCACTAGGCGACACAAGTTGCTAGATGGAGGAAGGATGTTTGTGGCCAGATGTCATAATATTTTGGATAATTTTAATTAAAGTATTTATCCCGTTAAACTCACAATTAATTTACACTACAACCCACATCTTGTGGAACTTGCAGTTTATTTTTTTTTCTTCAGGGATTAGGCGATTAGCCCACCCGGTCACAGGTCACTGACCCACATCGGGCCTGGGGGTCGAAAATGTGATTATAATAGCAATAATAATTAGTTCATATTAAATAAAATTTATAATAAAAATAAAAATAAAATAATAATAACTCATAATAATAATAATAACAAAGAACCACAAAGAAATAAAAAAGAAAAAAAGATCAATAGTGAAAAATTATATATGTATGTTGTGTTGTCAACGTAAGAGAAACAATTGAGACCCTGCAATTGTGTGTAAATTGGGCAGAAAGTCAGATCAGCAACCTGGGACTTGGTCACATATGGCAGCAGGGTCTACCATTAGACAACACATTATGCTTCCAATATCTTCCCAGGCGGTAGTACCTCCCTGTTTGATAGCTGCCTACTACCTACTACATAATTTAGTTATTTTAATAATAAATAATAATAATAATAATAATGATGATGATAATAATAATTTAAAATTATATGTAGCAACAATGTTATTATAGATATATTTTTTCTGAACACTGTACCTTAGTTTTGAAAATGCTTGCATTAATGATAAATGGCATAAATAGAAAATAAATCTGTTTTGTTTCGGAACAGTCCTGGACGTGCCGACAGCCATTCCAATCATCATGGGTGCCAACATTGGTACCTCCGTCACCAACACCCTTGTCAGCATCGGCCAAGTGAGTCTCACTTCTTTTTCTTCACTTTTTCTCCCTCTTTATGATTCCGTCCCCTAGTTATTGATCTTTTCCTTCCTACTCCTCTAACTGTCTTTTTTTTTCTGATTCTCTTTGACTTCTCATTCTATCTCTCTAACTCTCGACTCTTTTAATGATCGCCTTTCGTTGGTTCTTGTTGTTATTTACACCTTTCATTATTGTGTACCTGCATTCATCTCGTGTATACCTCGCTTGTACTGTATTAAGACATATTTGTTTATATTCTCGTCATCAGGAATTACATCATAGGGATCATGTATATATTTTTGTTTATGTTATTTACAAGTTTTATATAATGTTACAATATTTATTCGAGTTTAAATATGTATACTCAAGGCTTTTCCTACCTCCTACACACACACACACAATTCATTAAGTAGTTTTGAGGGATGACCACACCCCATGCATACGTCACAGATCGGGGACAGGGAGCAGTTTGAGAGGGCATTCGCTGGTGCTGTGGTTCACGACATGTTCAACTGGCTGTGTGTGATGGTGCTGCTGCCCCTCGAGGTGACCACGGGCTATCTCGACCATCTCACTACTGCCATCCTCTCCTCTGTCACCCTCGAGCACAACAATATGAAGGTCGAACTCCTCTCAAGTATCACCAAGCCCTTCACCGACAAGATAATCACGGTAAGCGATGCACTTGACACACACACACACTCACAAAGTCATCACGCAATACCACCAATTGATAATCATGTAATAATATATAATCTGATAAATTATCCCTTATGGTCGGTATTTATATCTTGTGTGTTGTATATTGCACGAATTACAATATATGCTAAGCAAACATTGAGAATTCTTATGTTAATAAGTATCTGTCTCCTATTAATCTATATATATATTGTAATCGTGAGAGTTGTGTTAATGTTGGTGTGTGATGGAGGTTGACGTGTGTTGCAGCTGGACAAGTCTGTGTTGACGGGGTGGACGATGAAGGACCCAGCCTACGAGAACGCCACTCTACTGCAACGACTGTGTCCTCACCCTCACAACGCCTCACAATACGTTACATGTGAGTCATTCTCCTCACACTATGTTACATGTGAGTCACTCATCATCCTCACAATGCCAAAAAGTCGGTAAAACTTACATCACAAGCGCCCCACAGAATGCCTGATTTTAACTGTAACGTACCAAAGTTATTGTTTATTTATAAATACTCGGTACACATTTTCTATTTACTGAAAATCTTTTAACTACCATTGTCAGGTCTCCGTAGTGTAAGGATTTTGTGCTCGGTGCTCTTAGTGTAAACAGTATTAGGCTTCTCACACAAGGTATTTCATATTATAGCTTTGTGAATATTAGGATATTATAGTGTTAGAGTAAATTGGGATTTCATAAAGCTTAGGAACAGCAGTACACCAAATTTCACCTGATTAAAAAACACCCTATTGCTAATTGGGGGGGGGGGGGTTAGGTTTGGCTAATATTAGGTTGTTAAAGCATCAGATCCTAATCTTTATGAAATCCTTAAAATCTTCTGTGACAATATTAACTTTTATAAATCATTTTCATTTTACATACTCTTTACGACATGCGTAATTTTGATTTTTATAATGTAAACTTCCCAGGAGTTTTCAGAATATTCTATCGACGATAGTTGTGATTTGTATACACTGAAATGTTGCTAAGTAAATATGAAGTGTATCTGGTGTAGCCTGCCCTGTTATACTGTATTGTTTTTACGGGGATAGTTAGTGAAACAATTGAGACCCTGCAATTGTGTGTAAATGAGGCAGAAAGTCAGATCAGCCACCTGGGACTTGGTCACAATTTTTGTGATGCCATATGGCAGCAGGGTCTACCATTAGACAACACATTATGCTGCCAATATCTTCCCAGGCGGTAGTACCTCCCTAGTTGTAGCTGCCTAATACCTACTACCTATCAGTTGACTTGTTCTATGACGATACACATCAGTGCCGGATTTAGACCTGTGGAGGCCCATGGGCAGCTTCTTTGTGGAGGCCCCCCTCATTATAACTACCCAAGAGGGTGGGGTTGATTGATTGATAGATACGTTTATTGAGATACAAAAAACATTAATACATCTCAAAGGGATGAAGTGACATAAGTCATCCCCACCCCAGTCCAGGAATGTCCCTCTCAGGACTCACATAAATCCCTAATATTTCATATAATCAGTTATAGTACATAGTTATATTCTAGATGCAAAATTTCTATATTTCTTTAATATTTCATCTATTTTCCTATTTTTAAACATCCACTCTATTTGCTTGGGGACATTATTTATATGGGCATTTCTATATACATTAAGCAATGGGCATTCCAGTATATAATGTGGCAGGGTATGGGATCTGGATGTTGAGGGTGGGGTGGCGAGTGAAGCGAGCCTAAACATCTGGGAGTTCCGGGAGGCGCTGTAAGGCCCCCGGGAAATTTTTGAAATTTGAACACTTCTTTGGAGAATTTTGAAGCCATATGCAGTTATATTGAGGAAATTAGAACATTGAGAAAATTTTAATTAACTGCATATTTATTGATAGTGTACAGATTCCCAACACACACACACATACACACACAAGTGAGACATGACTAGAGTCATTCATGTGGTTTCAAGTCGACCAGCCCTGATATAGCTACTACCGCACATGTCAACAATTTTCAAGAGACTTCATAGAAAAGAATATATTATTAGTTATAACAGAGAGATGATTCTTTGCATTATTAATCAGATAAACCTCTACTCAAATAATGGTTCTGTCCAAATAGCTAGCCTAATTTCTATCACGCTTCTTGCTGAACATAGTTTTACTTGATGGAATAGATAAACATGAATTTTAAAGAATGAAAATAAAATTAATCCAAATGAATAAACAAATAAATAAAATATTGTAAAATGAATAAACAAATAAATAAAATATTGTAATATGTGGAGGCCCCAGATTGTGGAGGCCCCTTGGCAGCTGCCCACTCCTGAATCCGGCCTGATACACATACAGGTTTGCAACTGTTTGACTATAAAACTAACGCTGAGTGTGTGTGTGTGTGTTGCAGGCCAGACAGTAGCTGCACACCTGCCGCTGAGTGACACAGGTGTGGGTCTGGTGTTGCTGGCCGCCTCACTTCTCCTCCTCACCATCTGCCTCATCGCCATTGTCAAGACCCTCAGCTCTATGCTCAAAGGTCAGCCTCACACCTTAGTCTAAGTGTCAGTAAACCCTTTACACGTCACTGTAGTATAATGATAGATAAGATGATTGTGAAAGACAAATAAGTATAATTTAATATACGTATAGAGTGATAAGTTGTTATGAAAATAGATACATAATAAAACACCTAAATACAGTAAGTACAAACATTTATACAGTAGATGGTAACATGCAAGAATATAGATGAAGAGATAAATATGAAGGATTATAGATAAATAAACAAAAGCAGAGATGGAGTCAGAGTATGTGTGGTGTTGTCACAGTTACATGTTGTCATCACAGGGTCGGTGGCGGGGATGGTGCAGCACGTGCTCAACGCTAACCTTCCCCGGGTGCCTTGGCTCACAGGCTACCTGGCTATCATCGCTGGTGCCATCATCACCTTCGTCCTCCAGTCGTCCTCCATCTTCACCTCGACGCTCACGCCGCTGGTGGGTCTCGGGATGATCAGCGTAGAGCGTGTCTACCCCCTTACGTTGGGGTCAAACTTAGGCACCACCACCACAGCTCTGCTGGCTGCTCTCGCCTCCGACTCAGCCAGCCTCCGTCCTGCCATTCAAATCGCTCTCGTCCATCTCTTCTTCAACGTGACGGGTCTGCTGATGTGGTACCCCATTCCCTTCATGCGTCTCCCAGTGCGGATGGCTCTCGCGCTAGGTCGAATCACCAGCAAGTACCGCTGGTTTGCTGCTGTCTACATGGTGATGACGTTCTGCATTGTACCATTGTTCGTGTTTGTGGTGTCCCTTGGAGGGGCGGTCGTTATGTACAGTGTCTTTATCCCACTCGCTGTGTTTATACTCATTGTTGCATTTATCAATCTAGCTCAGGTACATTTCCCCAAATGTCTGCCGTCTCTATTGCGCACATGGCACTGGCTGCCTCTTCCACTGCGCTCTTTGCAGCCTTACGACGACCTCATCACCCGTCTCATGTGCTGCAGTCGTGGCCCAGGTCATGAATATGCCCACGTTCCAGCTGTGTCTGTGCAGCCCCCACTTGCAGGAGTGGAGCAGGGGGAAGGGTTGGTAGTGGTGGTGGAGGAGGAGGCCGAGAAGGAGGGTGAGGGAGGCCCCGGGGAAGGTGCCAACGGGCAGATGGAGGTGCAGATCCACAGTGCCAATGTTACCCCTCGAGTCGTCTTTGTCCAACACGAGACCTCCACCTAAGATGACGTGACCTCCATCCACCCACCTGCCAGGATGCTGGAGTGTTAGAGGACTGAGAACTCTGGTCGTACAGACACAGGCTGTCCGCGAGAAGATTCGCAATAAGTGAATATTATATATTCTAAAAAAAAAAAAGATTGTATTTGCTAGTATGCATATGCTCAAATGTGTTTTTTTACTTTCATCAAAATTTATATGCATATACAGTATGACTCCCCAAGAAATCATTTTGTAAAAACAATATGAGAAAAATGTATACTTTAACCACATGGAAACTGAACATCAAACAACTAGCCCAGTTCAGTTGTAAGCAAAGTAAGTTGCACAGGAGACCAGCAACAGCAGGCGGGTCACCGTATTTATAATGTCATCATCCACACGTATAGCTAATGTTTCCTCTTTCATAGCGACGTATGTGAGAACCTCTCCTAGCAATGTCTAGCTAGTGTACTGTATACCATTACTAGCAATGAATATAGCAGATACAAGTGGTAATATAGTGAAACGTGTATGTTCATTAAATGTCCCCAAAACTGAATACGTTGACGTGAGTACCAAAGTGTAGCTTCTAGCCGTGTGTGTCAGAGATAGTCCAGCCTGTACAACGTGGCTTCCTGAAACTGTCCAGATACTAGTTCACCCTTGCTTGTCCTGTACCTCGGACCTGGAGGTCACATCCTCATCGACATACCTCAAAGCATCACGTAAAATTTTTAAATTCTAATTGGGCTCTCAGAACACTACACTAAATACTAAAATTCTCAGGGTTCCTCGCAGTATTACTTCAGCAATCAAATTCTCATGAAGGTGCCTCAACACTACAAGGGGATTAATCTTCTCACAGCATCTCGCAGTCAGATTCTTTCAAGGGAGGCTCACAATACCTTAAAGTGATCATATTCTTATTTGGCACTTTACAACAGAAAACGACCAAATTCTCATCAAAGTGCTTAAAAAAAACACTGTATGCTTATTAGTCGTTTTGTGGCATATGAGACAAATTTTCTTACCTCCCTACCTGTTTCAAAATATAATAAAGCACTTGTTAACGTATAATAAAAATACCCAGCTCCCAATGATACGTCAAGCTGATCAGTTATACGAGATTATCCATGTGATGTATAGTCGTCCACAGCTTGACAAAGACCACATCATCCCCTGTCAGGTGATAAAGACCACGTTGTGACCATCCATTACCTGATAAGAAACATACTACCCTAATGTTAGTGCGACTTAGTATGTTCCAGGGTCCGCATCTCAAAGATTCATATATAAAATGTTTCTCTCAAAACTGTAAAACGAGAACACATTTTGTGACGCTTGAGAGGGCAATTTAAAACCATTTAACCATCAAATTTTATAAGTATTTTTACACTTCGGCACCTCAGCTACCCTGAGAGATTGGAGCGCCTGTACTTGCCTAGCTTGTACTACAAACGGGCAAGGGGTGACCTAGTTGAGGTGTATAAGCAACTCAAGGGGCACTACTCAGTCGAGTGTCCTTACTTGGAGCTGGCGGACGCTCGCCCCACAAGGGGTCACAGCTCAAGATTGAAAAAGCCGCAAGTCCAGAAAACTGTGAGGGCAAACTTTTTCGGAGTGAGAGTTGTGAACTCTTGGAACAATCTACCAGAAAGTGTTGTGACTGCATCGAGTGTGAGCTTTTTCAAGACAAGACTTGACCAACACTGTAGCAGGTTCAGGTACATTCAGGAGCCGGTGCATGCCCAGTACTTGCCAGCAGTGTAACAGAGACGTGACCGATCGCCCAAGCAGCTAACGACCTGATCATTTGGTGAAGAGGATAAAAGTAAAAACAAAAAATAGTATATATATATATATATATATATATATATATATATATATATATATATATATATATATATATATATATATATATATATATATATATATATATATATATATATATATATATATATATATATATATATATATACATATATATATATATATATATATACATATATATATATATATATATATATATATATATATATATATATATATATATATATATATATATATATATATATATATATATATATATATATATATATATATATATATATATATATATATATATATATATATATATAAATACGAAACTTAATAAATCTGGGTCCAAGCTGAGAGCACCACGTCTTCACTAACTCCCAGAACAGCAGCCATGCCATTAAGAAGTGCAGAGTGTTCCCGCTGGGGTTGTCCTATGGTAGTAAACATTAAAAACATAGCAACTACTCCCTGCAGGTGACCTTGCTTGTAGACCTGGAATAACAGTGTAACCAAGCGCAATATTATAACAATCATATTTGTATAATTAAACAAGTGCAGTAAGTGTTATGGTTCCAAATTTGATGTCTTCAAACGAAAACACCATATTGAGAGGTTTATAAAAAAAAATATATCTTTAAGAAGGACTTATAAGGTGACTTACGTTCGTTTAAATAAACTGTCGTCTCCCCGGGATTCTGGGGGGTTGATTCCACATTGAAAGGCTTAGATACTATTGATTTGATTCCATACCGAAAGGTTTGGATGCTTTGCAAAGGTATCATGGAGATTATATACACAATTATTGTTTTATATTTTAATCACAGTTACTGATTGTATATGTAGATAAAATAATATATTTTTGTAATAAATGTGTAAAAGTGGCCTTTTTGTTTTTATTTTCTCATTTTCAAGGATACTGAGGTTTCTTAAGCGTGAGGTTAAGTAAATGTTTCAAATCTATGCTATTAAATAGAGGATTAAGGCACATAAGCATTTAGACATTAAAAGCACAAAATTCACTACTGTACTACATGACCTCAAGCAATCTTCTAGAATTGGAATAATTACCCATTTTCAAAATACATTTAAAATTTCAAATAATGATAAAAAAATTAGACATGAATACTTAAGAAATACAGGTTAAAAGAAACAAGACGGATGAAAGAAAAAACTGCTTATCATCAGTAATAGTGGAGAGCAGACGGCAAACACCAGTACATTGTTCGATTACATTAATTTTTTCCGTAGATGTTCTTTGGATGATATTAAGTAATAAAAATAATAACTTTTTATTTTAATTATAAGGATTTTATTCTTTTTAGCTTTTCGCTATCTACGATCATAAATCACCTGTAGTGGGTAGGGTATGAAAGATATGGGAAATTGCTGGGTAAAACAAGGTGAAAAACTGATCGTATGACACTAAAATGATGTCTACGTGCTTTGTACGCGAAGAAATTAATTATTTACCGTAAATAGTCCGCCGAAAATTATGCTGTGTAGGCGCTCTTTGTTTTCACACATCAACCAAGCCCCTCGATCCGAGCGTACTCTACATCCATGCTGTTTCAAGAAAGTTGCTTTCAGTAGTACCAGATATCAAAGTAAGTACTTTCTGTTTAATATGCCGAGAGGTTTGGGGGACGGAGCCCCTCGGCTAGGAAGTAAGGTTAAGTTAGGTAGGATTCTTTGGTTGGTTAGGTCAGGTTCTATTAGGTTCTGTGCATTGTCGTGTCGTTTTTATTACTTACTATCATCCAAAGAACGTCTATGGAAAAAAGAACGAAATCGAACAACTCCTTCAGGTGTTAGCCCTCTGCTCCATTCTTACCATGTCATCTGATTGACAATATATTGCTTTAAAGAAAGTGTGACAACTGCACAGGTTCTGAGGCGGTATTTCGTATACCTGTGGTGGGTGACAACGTTTTGTCTTTAATGTGTAGGTCTGTGTGGCTGTCGATAGATGATCTGGCACACAGCCTAGCAACATTCAGGACGGTCCAAGGCAGCCAGTAGATCTGTAGCCACCACCACCTGTGAAAGAGAAGACAGCAAACATGGGAAATACACACAGAAAGAGAGCAATTCACATAAATATAGAGAATAGGCGGAACAACTATATTTACCTTTATTGCAATATGAGTGGTAATGAGTCATTGCCACTCATATTGTAATAAAGGTCATTAATAATGACCATAAATTGGAAAGGAAAATGTACTTTCAGGCCCATGCACAAGTTAACCATGTTTTGGACTGTCAGTTGATTGAAAATGTCCAAAGGAGGGCCATCAGATTGGTGCCTGCACTTCGGCACCAGCGTTATCCTGAGAGATTAGAGAGCCTGCAACTGCCTGGCTTATATACTACAGACGGGCAAGGGGTGACCTAATTGAGGTGTATAAACATCTCAAAGGGCACTACTCAGTCGAGTGTCCATACCTGGAGCTGGCGGACGCTCGCCCCACAAGTGGTCACAGCTCAAGGTTGAAGAAGCCACAAGTCCAGAAAACTGTGAGGGGTAACTTTTTCGGAGTGAGAGTTGTGAACTCTTGGCACAACCTGCCAGAGAATGTTGTGAGTGCACCGATTGTGAGCTCTTCCAAGACCAGACTTGACCAACACTAGAGCAGGAGCCAGTACATGTCCTGTACTTGCTAACAGTGCGTAACGGAGACGTGACCGACCTCCCAAGCGGCTAATGAGCAAATCATTTAAAAGTTCAGCCCATCCCGAAGAAAGGTGACCATTCCAATCCCTTTAACTATAGCTCCATTGCCCTAACTTCATCCCTCTCTAAGATTTTCGAAACTCTTAAACTCATTTTCTCCGTCACCTTGAACGCCTTTCTCTTTTGTCGGATCACCACCATGACTTTGGCCAGGCGAGATCTACTGGCTGCACCCACTCTGAGGGATTATGGGGAAACTTTCGTCGTGGCCCTCGACATCTCCAAAGCATTTGACAGGGTATGGCACAAGTCTTTGCTTTCTAAACTTCCCTCTTATGGTTTCTCTCCCCCACTTTGTCCTCTGTTGGCTCCAAGAATGGTCGAAGAAATGGCTGCTGAGATTCAATGTTACGAAGTGTAAGAGGATGCACCTGGGGCGTACCAAAGGTAAGGAAGCGTATCATATATCCCAACGGGATGAAGAAACTGCACTAGTTGAGACTGAATGTGAGAAGGACCTAGGTGTGTATGTTGACAATGAGCTGAAGTTCTCGGGCCATTGCGAGAAGAAGGTAAATCAGGCAAATAAATTATTGGGTCTTATAAGAAGGTCGTTCAGATTTCTAGACGGTCCGTCCCTCGTAACGATCTTCAAGAGTGAAGTGCTTCCCCATCTGGAGTACTGTCACCCCGTCTGGTCCCCGAGATATGCTAGGGACTGTCAGTTGGTTGAAAATGTTCAAAGGAGGGCCACCAGACTGGTGCCTGCACTTCGGCACCTCAGCTACCCTGAGAGACTGGAGCGCCTGAACTTGCCGAGCTTATACTACAGACGGGCAAGGGGCGTATAAGCATCTCAAGGGGCACTACTCAGTCGAGTGTCCTTACTTGGAGCTGGTGGACGCTCGCCCTACAAGGGGTCACAGCTCAAGATTGAAGAAGCCGCAAGTCCAGAAAACCGTGAGGGCAAACTTTTTCAGAGTGAGAGCTGTGAACTCTTGGAATAATCTACCAGAAAGTGTTGTGATTGCACCGAGTGTGAGCTCTTTCAAGACCAGACTTGACCAACACTGGAGCAGGTTTAGGTACATTCAGGAGCCGGTGCATGCCCAGTACTTGCCAACAGTGTAACAGAGACGTGACCGATCGCCCAAGCGGCTAACGAGCCCATCAATTGGTGAAGAGAATAAAAGAAAAAGAAAAGAAATCCACCGAACATTGCCCGTTAAAGTCCTGTAAAAGAGTGGGAGTGATGCAAGGGAAGAGAGATTATCAATTAAAGGAGGAGAGTTAATAAGACGAAATGCCTTTGATTCCACCTTATCTAACAGTTGAAAAGAAGAAGAGCCACCCCAGATATGAGAGCAGTACTCCAATGGCCCGAGTACTTCATCTCATTGTCAACATACACACCTAGGTCCTTCTCAATTCAGTCTCAAATAGTGCAGTTTCTTCATCCTGTTGGGACATATGAACGCCTCCTTACCGTTGGCATCCTGTGTTCCGCCGGCAAGGCCGTGGGCTCGAAACACGGCAACATTCGTCTTGTCCGCGGTGTCCACCGTTTCTCTGATGATTTTTTTTTTTACGGGGAAGAGCCCCTCCCGGGCACAGGTCATTGACCCACAACGGGCCTATGGGGCGAAAAAATAAGAGTCACACTAGAATAACCCGTGATAGTACATCCTTCTTTCCTCACACAGCCAAACTGTGGAATGCTCTGCCTTCTGTGTTTCCATACTCATACAATCTGTCCCAATTCTATTTTTAATTTCTTTTTACTCTTATTTTTTCGCCCCCTCGGCCCCTTTGTGGGTCGATGACCTGTGCCCGGGTGGCCTATTCCGTGGGTGTCACAAGAAAGTTAGAAACCACTAACAGACATAATTTTCAAGCTCACCAAGGTTTCATACAGGATTACAAAATGAAGTACATCATGCAGATGGTGGTAGACCTATTGGAACAGTCTACCCAAGGTCTATAGAAGCTTGAGTCTATATCAGCTTAAGCCGTGGTAGAGTTTGGGTGGCCATTAGGGAAATTAGACTCTGCTTGGGTAAAAGTCTCTTTATAGTGAGCTGCAGTTAAACATTTTACTATTCGAAATGCAAGTAGGCATTTCATATTGTACATACTACATAATAACTATGCATTATATGATAAATAAGTAAATGATTAGTTTGAAAGCGGTGAAGGTAAGGTACAGGGGCCTGATATGTAAACAAATATTTATTAATTCCGCTTTGGTCGTCACCAGTTTATTGTGCAGTTAAGTACACTGAAATCCATTCTATATTATGGTTGTGATTATCAAGATTAATGAGTTGGAGTTGATGCTAGTTTAGATATGATGAATTTACGGTCATTTTTTCAACTGGGTTTAAAATATTTTGAGAAGCAGAGTAGCCGCTGCCAGCTGTATGGAGAATTAAAAACAGTTGAGGCAGCGGCTGCAGCTGCTCAGCGAGGCGAGGCAGTGCTGATTGTCTCGCTGCCTTTCCTAACACTGGCCACACCCTCACTGATGCTGCCACATAATATGTAAAGGTATCTATCTCATCACGGAGATAAATTGTATGATTTACCCACGCAATTGCCTCAGTTGTTCACTCTGGATAAAATGTTTTCCATGTCTGCTTTGTTTAACCCCAGAGAAAACTTACCTCGGTGTAAAAGCTGGATGGCAACAACTGTTGTATGATATGAGCAGTTATACAGTTTGTCTAGTGTTTGATAACTGTACGTAGTTATTAATAGTGTCAAAGTACACTCTGATTTTTCTATGTCCATGGTCCCTCATTATTTGTAGTCATGTGTTGTGGCCAAGGAGCTAAAATTCAAGCTATGAATTGTGAACAGTAATGCTATTTGTTTACAATGGGTTAAAAAATCGTTTTTACCCCCAATTTCCCGAATTGGTATGGGATATTTTTGTGGTATTTTTATAGTAGTTCACACAACATTCCTACCCCAAATCAGTTATCATATTCTAAAAAGACTTCTAATTTTAAGATAATTTTCTTCTATTACATTGCCGTCGGAAACGTATAATAACGGAGATAGTGCGTGCCAAATCTTTCTCTATATTATTCCATTGATCTTCCGGTAATATTGCAGTTTACAGCATCCACAGAATTCCGTAAATTCACTTTACTCAATCGATATAACTATTTTTTCCTATGGTCATTTTCTTATATTACACTTCTGTCGCAAGTTGATAATAAGGAAGTTATTGAATTTTAAAAATAATAAAATCAGAGCACCTTTTGCCCCTATGCTATTACTCAAATTGTGTGTGTTCATACGATGGCTTACCTCTCGTGCATGTGCCGGGGAGTGGCCGCAGCCAATCAAATGTGGGGGGGGGGTGGCACCGAATCAAATACAATAAAAAAATCTCAAATTTTGATTCAGCCAATTCGCGCCCAATATTCGGCTTGGGTGCTGGGATGCTGGACATTTTTAATCAGTTGCAACATAAAGCCATAATGTGCTGGGTGCGATTTGGATTATTGGAAGTTTATTGTATTACATCATTCTAAAAATAAGGAAACTTTAGAGAACAGAGGAACCCACGACACATTCTGGTCCCTGACTCGGAGTAAGGTAAAAATACTCTTAACGGCTATTTATATTCTTTTGGAGGCTGACCACGTGACTCTAAGGTTATTACATAGAGTTTAGGGGTCTGGGGTCGAAGCCCCCTGTTTGAGTCACCGTGGGTCTGGGTTCGTTCTTTTTTTTATAGGTTAGGATAGGTTAGGTTAGGTCAGGTCATCCCAAAAGGGGTAGGTTTATATGTTTTTTACTAGTGTTTTTTGGTGTATTTTGTACTCACTTGGCCATGATTTTAGTCGGAAAATGATTGTTTCTCTTCCCCACCCAAAACTCCGGTTCCTAACAGGATCCCCTATCTTGTTGGGGTAGAAGGGGGCGATAACTAAAAAACGGGCAATTTCCGACTGAAATCAAGGTGAGAACTAATCAAAACACAAAAAAAAAACACTAGAAAAACATAGTTTTGACATTCTAACAGAGTTGTGTGAACTTCTTTAAATTTACCTATTTTTGTAGTGTACTTTCTTGCGAAATTGAGCTGGTTTTTTAATTTATTTTAAATTATTATGAGGAATCGAATAACACCCAAAAAAGGCTCATTTCCACAAGAAATGGCATTCAGAATTGACTAAAAAACACCAAAATACACCAGGAAAATAATTTCTCATACCAAAAGAGGGTATTCTATTACTATGTACCTATCTGGGGGAGGGACCTGACCTAACCTACCCTAACTTAACTTACTACCCAAACCTAACCTAACTTACTACCTAAACCTAACCTAACCTACTATTGCCACATACCTATCCAGGGGGTGGGCTCGATTCCTAACTAAAAAAGATTCCTAGTGATAATGGTAAAAAAAATTGAAATACCTATTGGGATAAAAACAAAGTATTAACCTACAATGATACAACATTAGTGCACTCTCTATTACCAGAGTGACTTAAGTTTGATGCTCTCATGGGTGGGATGTAAGAAGGGTGTTGTCTACTGTGAGTCTATTACACTAAATAATAATATTGGTCTTAGAACATAAGAATGTAGGAAACTGCAATGGGCCTATTGGCCCATACTGGGCGTATTCGAGTTAATGATGATGTTTGGTAACTTGTTCCACTCATACACTACTCTATTTCCAAACCAGTTTTTACCTATCTCACACCTAAATCTAAATTTGTCTAATTTAAAACCATTGTTATGAGTTCGCTCCTGGTTGGATAGTTTGAGTACCTGTGTAATATCACCTTTGTTAAGCCCTGACTTCCATTTATACACCTCGATCATATCGCCATCACTCTACGTCTCTCGAGGGAGTGCAAATTAAGATGCTTTTACCTGTCTCTGAACTCAAGGTTCCTAATGCCCGGCATTAGTCTCCTCTGAATTCTTTCTTGGGATTCTATATTCATTCTGTAGTATGGTGACCAGAACTGAACTGCGTAATCCAAGTGAGGTCTCACAAACACTAGATATAGTTTTAGGATAACCTCGCTAGTCTTGTAACTAACACTCCTTTGTATGAACCCAAGTACTTTGTTAGCCTTGTTTCGAGCAAATACACATTGTTTACTTGGTTTAAGATTCTTACTTATCATTAATCCTAAATCTTTCTCACAGTCGGATTTCTCGATAACAACGTTGTTCATCTGATATCTGGGTTCTCTGTTTACATCTCCTGGGTATACGGGTTTCCTCCTGTACTACATTAGACCTAAGGGGGATGGCCTTCTCTGTACCTCTAGGGAGACCAGTTAGTCATAACTGATAGAACTGCTGAGAATTATTATGATCATTAATATGATCAGTTAATTGTTGGGTTACTGAGTAGAGGTATATTGTATTGGCAGTGGATATTTTGCCGCGACCGGTAAGTTCCTACTAATGCTATTTTACCGTGAACAACGCGATAAGTATATTTGACCGTGACTTGCGGCATATAGCATTTATTTTACCGTGAGGCGATCGTTGTGTTGCTGTAAACATACCTAACCCTATTTCTGTTGTGCATGGAAACTTATGATAAAAAGAAGCAACATTGACTAGAACCTAATATAACCTGACCTAACTAACCAAAAAAAACCTACCAAGCCTTACCTAACTTCCTAGCCAGGGGACGGACCCCCGTCATATTAAACAGAAAGTACTTAGCCAATCAAAGTGAACTTATGGTAAAATAGCATTAGTAGGAACTTAGCCGGTCACAGCAAAATATCCACTCCGTACTGTATGGCCATTTAATATTTTTACTTGTTTGTGCAGATGATCTTGGGTAATGTTACTGGCAGTTTTGAAGAGTAGAAACTATTGTGTGTTTTCTTCATCTGATTTTTAGGAGAAATTATCTGAAGAGCCAGGTAAAACTGTCTTTCTTCTATTTTCTAATACATGCTATTATCAAGTTAAAAGTTACATATTGTATATAAAGATGCAGAGAATGGATGCCATTGCATAACAGTATTGTGAAATTTTTGATGGGATCTATCCCAAAATTTTAGTACAATACATGTATAATGCATATAATGGAGATCTGTTGTAGAGGAAAGTGTGCACCTAATATAAATTATCACATGGTCCTTTCATTTTCAATTTAAGACTACAAATCGAAATAAGGTTAATATTGACGACTAACCTGCCGACGCATTATTTGTTTTGATGTTTATTTTCTTAATATACTATCATAAGTGAGTTCTGATATGATGACACATTTCTTGTCTAAATTCTTTGTTTGTTAGATATAAGCCACTGAGGCGTGCACTACCTTGTCTTTTCGGCGGTAATGCGGTGGTGTCACTTGCAGTCCCTTGGCGTGAGTGTTGGGTTAACTATTTAGGGATGCCAAATGGTATAAACCAATAAATTTAAATCGAACTTTGCTTGTATCATCTTTAATGGTTTAGCCCCATAGCCTCACTGAAGGATCATTGTTGGGGAAGGGACACTTCTCTCATTTTGTATATATGTGTATACAGGTACTGTACTAATTTTATCCCTTTTTGCCAACTTGATAGTTATATTATAAGTTAAAAGAAACTTACCTGTAAGGATCCCATAAAAGGATTTTTTTTTACTAACACTTGAGTAATGATTTATTCCCAACAACCACATCACTCACTTTTACCTCAAATGCTTTAGTCAAACTGTGGGTTAATACTGTATTTTGAAGTTGCTATGCACTGAACTTTATATTGAATCTTATACTGTATAGGAGATAGAGCAAATAAAAATACTATGCGTATTGCGTTTCCATCTGAAATTTATGGTATTTGAGTTATTTTTACTTTTCTGTTTAATTTAAATATAGTAAAAGTTCTTGGGAAATCCATTGTTTACTAATTACTCAGCCAGTCTGTGGAAGTTTGGATGTCACGTGATACTGGTACTTTTGAGCCAATCAGCTGAAGATTTATGAGCCTGATTAAACTCTGAAAATTGAATTGCGTAGTTGCAAGATGGCGTCTCTCTGTGAAGGTTGCTCCTTGGTGGATTGGTGAGTACCCGGTAATTCAGTGAGTTTTTTTAGAACGAAGCATCAGCTGTTGACATCTTAAGGGTTCATGGTCAAATGTCCAAGGTGTGGTTCAGACTGTCAGTATCGTAAAGATCGGCATACTTGGTACAGTATTGCAGTAAGAGACAGACACTCCTCAAGGGGAAGAGATTTCTTAATTGTGGGTATACAGTGTCCGAACACCGTCCATATTGCACCGTTTCCTCATTCAAGTGGTATCACTTTATCCTTCTGCATCTGTGCTTTTCACACACCGGGGGTGTTTTGTTTCATCATATTTTTTTGCTTGTTTTACCCCACAATTTCCCTCAACTTCAAAGCCCTGCCCACTTTGTTCAATCATTATTGTTGGTATAATGGGAGGGGAGGGGGGCATATCTCGATAGCTACTCATTTCCGACGGAAGTGAAGGTGAAATTCATATGAAACATGACGAATTACACTATAAAAATCTATTTTCTATACAGTAGTAGTTTCT